TGGCTCAGAATCCAGCTCTGCCTCATCCTCTTCAGAACTTAGGGTAGATGTCAATCCGACATCACCCGGGATACCTTTTCTTCGGAGCCTGCAACTTCTTCCAAGAAGAGCAAGACGAAGACACCATCTGAGGAACTCGAAGAAGGAATGAGAAAGGTCAATCTTGACTCTCTGATGTCAGAAACCGAGTTCATTCCGAGTTCGGACGAAGAGCCACCTAAACCTAAAACTCCTAAAAAGGAGAAGGACAAGTTCGTGGTTATCTTCGATCCCGAGACAGGGGGTCACTACCGAGTAAACTGAACCTCGATTACGAGGAACCGGCAGACGATGAAGATCTCCTCGAAGAGCGAGAGCGTATCAACGCTAGGCTCAAGGAAAATAAGAAACACGTCAACGCTCAATCAAGGCTGAATGCAGCCGCGAAAGAGGAGGTAAAAGAAAGGATCCACGTCTGTCGATGGAATCGAAAGAGGCAGAAGCCTCTTATGATCAAGGATTCCGAGGCCCCAGACGACGAGGAGTGGGACCAGCCTCATGAGAGCGCTGCATCCTCCTCTGAACCTTCTAAAAAGGAGAGAGTTGTAAGAATCCGGAAAACAACCATGAGCCTTAATCAGAAAATAAGACTGCTTCCGCGTCCGGAAGTCACACGCTGTCACCTGTGTAATCAAACAACAGGTTACTTCTGCTACCAATGTGGAAGTATCGTGTGTACAGACTGTCGCTTACCCACAGGGTAAACAGTCTAGTGCTCATGTGTTTTACCTGTTGATTGCCTCGAAAGAAATTTGATTATCGAGGCATGCTGATCCACACACCGGCTAACGAGCCGAGGCACCATCCATGTACTTGGGCGTAAAAGGAGATCCGACCACGGATATCGCCCTGATACATCATTTTTACAGGCACCGAACGGTGCGACCCAAGGATGGTGGAGCGCGCCAGATATAGGCCGACACGGTGCGGTATGCCGGCTAACGTTTGGCTATCATTCGGCCATTCCCGAGGCAAGAGAATGGGTACACCCGAACACGGGTCAACGCATGACTCAACGAGAGTACATGGAGCTCATCGGGACAGACCCTCTCAAGGGTAGAGATCCTGATGCCGATGGACATAGCCCACTAGGGTTCACAATCCAACCTATGATCACCAAAGGGAATGACAATAGGTCCAACGAGCAAGTGCAGAAAATCGATTTAAGCAAACAAACAGACAACAATCTTTTACTGAAAGCATGGCCGCGTGTTCAGACATACACGAACAAAGTGCTAACCGTATTCAGTGTTGCGGAGTGTGGAATTATGAAAAGGTTAAAATCTCAGATATTCCATTGATACAGAGCACACTCACTCAATTTTGAGTTTACAAGCATGAGTCGTGTCAAAGAGAAATCTTCTGCACATGATCAAGTCTTGTTGAGTTGAAGATGCTTGTGGCATGGTTACCGTCATGTCGTCGTCATTTATGACGATTACTCCATCGCGTGATGCTTCGTCGGAGTACTTTGATGGGAATAAACTCTGTGCTAAAGACTTCTTCCTTGTCGAAGCCTTCGATATGTTGTCCTTGAGTGTGGTGTGTGTCTCGCTTTTTTCAGCCATTTGTGCATGAAGATCTTGAAACAAACTTCTTATTTTTGGAATGTTGCCGCGGTCAATGTCTCTTTCGGTGTCGTTTCTTCGAATCTCCGCCGTTGGTATGGAAGCATGTTTTGCAGAGAAGAGGAAAGGAGCACTTTGTGTGCTGCTTCGGTGGGTGCTCCATACACTGAACTGGAAGCTCTCGTCAATTGCTTCCACATCCACCTTAGCCCCATCAGCAAGAGGAAAACATTCCATGCAATGCTGAAGAAAAACTCATCACTTGTTAGTGATTCTGGCAGCAAAGAAATGATCTCTCCATTGGTTCTGCATTTGCTCCCCCACGGTCCGAACCATCCTGATAGTCCAGCTGCTGTCGCAGCAGTTTTGACTGTGGTGCTGACGGTGGACGCGAAGATTTCTTCTCCTCCTGCCTGAGGATTCATCTTCTTCTTTCTCTTTGCGCATCCATCAGATTTGATGGCGCTCATGCTTTGTGTTGGTCGGATGAAGAGGATGCCCGCTCTCTTCCTGGTGGAGGATTTGGACGTTCGGGTTGTGGCCTCTCCCACCGAGACGACCTAATGGTCGTGGTTTACTATGACTGCTACTTCTACTTCGAATTATGCAACGGATCACTGAATTCTTGTTAGAGCTTTGGCTTTCCTTTTGTTGCTGCTGCTGAGAGTTATTCACCTTTGTGCCCGATCCAGGTTTGGATCATAGGATCTGCTGAGAGCGTTCGGATGAGACTCATCCGGATCCGAATGGTCTTTCTCACTACAGTGACCAAGAATTCTTAGCTCTGGTAAAAGCAACATCTGGAATGCCATATTTGTGATCGGATGTTTCTGACACTGTCTTAGCTTTTAGCGCAGCTTGTAAGCTGGTTGCCTTGGAATAACCTTGAAAACATGCTGGCTGTTTCGTCTTTGCTTTCGCTTTTGCCTTTTGGCGGTCTTGTCCATCGGAGGATGGCTAGTGCTCTGACTCGTCCCCTGATGGAGATAAAGCATCAGCATGTCTGCTATCCAATGATGGTGTGTTGATGGTGAAGGTGGGCCGTCATCTTCCTCTTCCTCTTCTTCTGAGTCATTCTCAGAACTAGGATCGTCGAAGAGGTTCTCCAGAACATTCCGGAGATTATTGTGTCTTCTCTCGATTTCAAGAGAGTTATGTAGCAGTTGGTTGAAGATCGTCCTTGCATTTTGTAATGCAGTGACAAGGATCTGTACTCTGGACAGAGTATCGACATGCTTCTGGTCGCATGCTCACATATATACATTCCGCTGCTCACTTAGCAAGTAGCAGAACAAAACAATCACTGTCTGTGTGCTGGGCGTTGCCTTAGATCCCACAGGACTCAAACTGGTTATACACTCCCACAGGAGTAATCCTAAAGGGGTGTATCGGCTCACCCCCGCCTTAGGGAAAACCCCTTTAAAGGGAGCTTTAAAAGGGACTTAAAGGGGGGCTTAAGTCCCCCTTTGTCAAAGAGAGTGGCCCATCCTCCCTTCACGAAGGGGGACTTCAGTTCACCGAAGGCTTTGAAGCCTTCGAAGGTAAAGGTTGAAGGGGAGCTTCGAAGTCCCTTCGCGCCAAAGAGTCCAAAGCCCCTTCAGCTTCTTCGCAAAGACGAAGGGTTTCGAAGGCTTCGAAGCCCTTTTTCCCTTCGTTCTTCCCTTCAAAGCCTTCGAAATCGTCCTTGCCCTTCAAAGGCTTCGAAGCCTTTGTTCTTGCCTTGAAAGGTTTCAAAGCCTTCGCTTTGCGTTTTCTTTTCGTGTGGCTTCTTTTTTTTTTTTCGTTTTGATTGCGTTTTGCTTTGATAACTCTTCTTTTTCTTATTTTATTTTCTTCGCAAAAGCTACCATAAAGCGATTTTGCGTGGCTTCTTCTTCTTTTGTGTTTGTGATTGCGTTTTGCTTCATCAATTCTTCTTTTTCTCATTTTATTTTCTTTGCAAAAGCCACCATAAAGCGATTTCGTGTGGCCCTTCGAAGCCTTCGAAGCCTTCATCTTTCCCTTCAAAGCCTTTCTCCCTTGGCGTCCCCCGCGCTTCAAAGGCTTCGAAGCCCCCTTTGCCGAAGAGTCGCTGGATGCAACCCCGTCTGGGTGGTGCGGGCCCGCATAACAGAAAGAAAAACGAAACCGCAGACCTGATACACTACACTACAGCCCGCCAAGTCTCAATCTGAAGCAAACCATGCCATTGTTGTTAAGAAGGGGATGGTAAGCTTGGAAACACGAATTTTCATTCTGCGAAACTGCGCAGAAACTCCAAAAAGTTTTGTAAGCGGGGTGTTAAAAAAGATTCTGTCTTTCTAGCATCCATTCTTGCGTCATGTGGTTCGTTGTTTTAAGTGTTATCTATGGCACTTATGTGTTTTCACGTTTGACATGCGCATACTCCACACGCATCTTCACCGATTCAATCGAATTTCACTTACAGTTGCTGTTTGTTCAGGTTGTGGAATAACCGATCTTGCCGGAGGACGGCCGCTGCGCATCCCGATGCGGATTTGTGGTTCTGCATTTAAACATTTAGAATTTTTTCAACAATGTTAGGACGACAGAAGAAGTTGTGATTTTTTGGGGTGCTAGATGTACGTATTGTTGTGTACCAGCCGGCTGTGCGCCTCATCAAGCAAATTGGTGTTTTGATGCGCTAGGTAACACGGCGTGACTGCTTGATTGAAGTGGAACATGTTCATTTGAGAGAAAGTTTGATGATTCATGATGCAGCACCAACTTGCTGGCATAATTACCAAAGTTCCAACCTACCCAAAACATGGTTTGAGTTTGAACGTCGAGTGAAACAGCTGTCCACGTGTGCCTGTGACTGCCAAGTTAACCGTGGTCCTGATCTCGGCAGATTTTACTTTTCGTTTTTTGCATGTAGAGCTCCCTTTTTCTGAAATGTAAGTAACTCGAGATCCATCACTGCAGATGTGTTTGGCTTACGTGGTGATAGTGCCTCGCAGTCATTCCAACTTGAGCCTCCACCATCGCAGCTGCCGTTTGAGCAGTGTGGATGTTTGAAGAATGCCTCCGCCAGGAGTCCTCGCATAGATCACAATGGTGGGCACGGGTCAACTGTGCCCCGGTATCCACACACACACACACCACAGTCATCGTGAAAGCCTTTCATTCAAACGTTTCCAACACCAAAGCCTGGACCTTGATGTGCCTGAACCTTGATGTGGCCTGCGCCCATTGAACATTGACCTGATACGCCCATGTCGGTCTCAGGCTCAACTTGCTGGAAGTATGGAGAGCCTTTGAATGGCTGGCAATCGCACAGAATGTGCTCCTAGGTGGATGAATCAGCGGCCCGGGACTTCGCTAGTGGTACCGCGCGGAGCCCGACAAATCGGCACGAGTTTTGCTGTTGTTCCCGTTGTGCAGATCGGCGGGATGGTGGCCATCTTGGCCGGGCATCCTTTGGACACGGCCGGGCCAGAGTCAGCTGGAGGACATGTGAGGGGATCGGACCACATGGCTGTCAGTTTGTGAGGCGAAAACACGGATCCAGGCGATGCCGCGTTTCGACGGCTACGGCACCTGGCGCGTGCCGGATTCCCAGCTCAATGTCTGCTGAAACATGCCTAGTGAGGAAAATTGGAGAAAAGATTTCAAGAACTTCCGCCGGCAAAGCTTGTCAGGCTCGCGGAGACCGCACGGCTGGAAGGCGAGAACTCTGCAGGGGGACTGACATAAGTGAAGTGCAATTGCGCATGAACACATGCCGCGATAGACTACGGATGGAAAGCTCTGGCTTGGTGTGAGTTCGGGTGTCGTGTGCTTTGCAGCAAGTTGGCAAGTGTCAGGCTCTTTTTGTGACACTTTGGTAGTTTATTTTACAACTCATAGCTGCGATCATATACAGGATGAAGCTCCAGTTGAGCAGCCTTCCGGTTGCTGTGATTTGCATCTGTTTTCGCAGGTTTAACTCAAGCCAGTGCTGCAGTTCTACCAACCGTGTGCTACCAGTGGAAATGTCGGAATTCCAGGGTTGTTCCGTGTGGCTGGCGACCGAGCCAACACTGTCTTGGCAACCAGCGTGTAAATGCGTATTGCACCCGACGCCCCAATGTGGGGCTCTGCACTCTAGAGCTCCATGTATGTCACGAGTTCACATTTCACATGCACGGCTTCGGTATTCTCAAGGCATACCCGAGGCTCGGAGATCCTATGCCCCGTCCTGATTTCTTGTATCCTTGTGGCAACTTGGCGCGTTTTTAGATTCTAGTCGTCACGATCATGCACTTGGTTGCCGACTTGATTCGTCATCAATGCGATAGATCGTGTAGAGCTGTTCTGAGCCTTGAGCCTGAAACAGGCCCAGTGGCGCTGTACAAGGGCATGTCCTTCCCGTTTTACAGCACGCCGAAGACTCAAGAATGCTAGTCTGTTGTCGTGCCTGTCGATGAAGCTGTCCAGGGCGCTCTTGACTGCCGTGGTCTTCGGTGTTCAAGGGGTCTCTGACCGCTTACTGCAGGTGAGTGGTTTTGTTGATTTGCACTCCCTTTCACAGCTTCCTCCTTTCTGTTCTTGGTGGCAGGAAGCTTTGGGGCAGCACGGGGCCCAGAGCGCACCGGTCACGCCCTCCACTTGCAGGGTCATTGTCGAAGCAGGGAGCGGCCGCAACTCACCGGCTTCCTTGGTGGCTGCATTGCCGGATTGGCCGGATGCCAAGTATGCCCAAGCTTCCTTGCCACTCGTACACCGGCTTTGCCGGAAGTTCTTCTGCTTCAGGCTCAGAGCCCCCTTGTCTGCATTGTGCTGCTCTCATCGCCGCACGAAGCAAAAGCCATCGGAGCTCGGGGCGAGCTCAGGTTGATCTGGTGAAGACCCAAAGACAGGTCCAGTTCACACCCCGGAGCTCCGCAAGCCAAGGGCCAACGCCGGCGGGGGCCACGGAGGAGAGAGGGGCACGAACTCTGTAAAGGGGCAAGCTGATGGATCTGCCTATAGATCCTCTGTCTGCCGGCGGTTGTCCTTGCAAATGAAGCGGTACCTGAGGTGAGGTTACTCCTGCAGCGAGTGAAGGCCCTGGGGCTTGGCCAAGGCTGCCTCCAAGGCAGGGCAGACTCTGACTGCGGTCAAACTTCCGCGGAAAGAGGCTGATGTGTCTGCCTCTGAACTCGTGGTTGCATTGTTCAGGCTTGGGGCCCACAGCCCTCAAGGAATGCCCATCGCATCTCCGCCAGCAAGCCACCTCGCGCGATCCTGCAAGGCTTCTCAACCGAAACCCGAAGTGCTGCTTTTGGCCGAGGTATGGCGTGTACTTCCTGGTCTATGAGGAATCCAAGCGTTTGCTGGATCCCCGAGTCCCAGCGCGGTGCTCAAGGGGCGGAGGGAGGAAAGAACCGAAGAACAGCCTGTGCCTAGGCTGTGCTGTCAACACTCTTCTCGGGCGGCATGGCGGGCTGCTTTGCCCTCGGCCCGGGCCCCGCACTCTGGGCCCTGCGCCCTGGGCCCTGGGCGGCCTCGGGCTTGTCGCGGCTCTCTGCACGACTCAGAGCTCAGAGCTCAGCGCGGAGGCATGATCCACCCCGTGGATGTCGTGAAGGCCCGTGTTCAAAGCCTTCCAGCCCAGGCACGTCGACATGTCCACGTTCGGCAGAGCTGAATCCTCGCCGGTCGATCTTCAGAGAGCATTGAGCATTGAGGCTACTGCGGAGCAGCACAGCACGCGCCACATCATCAAAGAAGGACGGGAAGGGGAAGAATGCATGTTCTCATTGACGGTGGAAGATGGAATCGGCGAGGCCTGCGGTACGAGGGTGCGGCCTTTTTCCTGCGCGGCTTCAGTGCCTTGGCAGAAGGACCAAAAAGAATGAGGTGCAGCAACCAGTCACGTCCAGGCCAGTCTTTCAGATCCGGCTGCAAGTCGACAGTTCAGGAACTTATTGCGCTTAAAACGGAAGTCTTGTGCACACATGTGCACCCTGACCTAGTTGGTTGTTATGCGTGTTCGGTTGATGTGCACTGGCTTTTCCGAAACCATGCACTACGACTTTCCTGGAGTGTTGTGTTTTCCAGGCTTCTTAATCTCTCGTGACGACAGTCTAAGGAGCCCCAAGTGGGCCAAACGCATCATGTGTAGCGCCGAGTGACGACACAGGGTATCAACTCCGTGACTTGAGTGTGTAAGGTAACAAATTGAGTTGCCTTTGACGCGTGGTCAATGTTCTCGTCGCCTCTTGCAGGTGCTGCAATGCAGCGGGCCTTCGTCGTGAATGCCGCGACCTTCGGCGGCGTGGAGCTGGGAGTGGTTGCCCGAGCAAAACAGAAATGAGGTTGCTGAAATGAGCTGAACCTTGTGCGTCAAGTTGCAGATTGGCGGAATCATCTTGCCAGGTGGCTCTGTGGGACCGCATGTCAGCAAAGAAGGGAACTGCGGCATGACAAAATGTGCGGCAAGCCCATGCCTTGTAACATCTTGTAGTTCAGCTTCAGGCAGTTCATGTTGCTTTGTCGCCAGCGGTTGCGCTGTTCTGTGGCCGGTGTCACAGGAGGATTTTGGCAGTGAGAGGGTTTCGTCGACGGTCAAATCAGAATCTTCTCGTGCTAGGCCTATTCCCGAGGCTGGACGACAATCATCGCCGTGGGGTCGGATCGGGAATGATGCAAGCCTGATTCTGCAAGCTGCGTGGCTCAAATCAAGGTTTTTTCTTCTCCCGGCTCCGACAGATGCTCGCTCTTAAGCTAGCGCTGTGGACTTTGCTCGCGCCTGTCGCAGCGGAGTACCGAATCAGAGGCTACGAACCAACGCCGCTGTCAAGCACTAATCCCAAGCGTCGTAGGATTCCTGAACATGGGTTTGTGCCCTGCATGCATTGAGGTCCAATGTTGCAAGCTTTGCTCGCATAGATATGGATGTCTTGGAAATGGCCGACCACATGGCGGGCTACGTCCAGGACGCCAAACAGCTCGCTGCCAGTTCTTAGCTTGCAGTGACATGGGTAAGCTGCAGTTTGCATCAGGATGGGCGCCGGCGCACTGATCCCTCGGACCCCAATCGGCGTCGGGACCCCTCAGACCCGAACCGTCGGCGCACCGATCCGTCGGACCCCGACCGGCGGCGAGATCCCTCGGACCCGAACCGGCGCCGCCGTGCGTCAGACATGAATGAGACGGAGGACGACAGCAGCCGTCGACGCACCGATCCCTCGGACCCCAATCGGCGTCGAGACCCCTCAGACCCGAACCGTCGGCGCACCGATCCGTCGGACCCCGACCGCCGGCGAGATCCCTCGGACCCTGACCGTCGTCGCCGTGCCACTGCCGATGAGAGCGAAGCGCGCCGACGCACCGATCCCTCGGACCCCAATCGGCGTCGAGACCCCTCAGACCCGAACCGTCGGCGCACCGATCCGTCGGACCCCGACCGGCGGCGAGATCCCTCGGACCCGAACCGGCGCCGCCGTGCGTCAGACATGAACGAGACGGAGGACGACAGCAGCCGCCGACGCACCGATCCCTCGGACCCCAATCGGCGTCGAGACCCCTCAGACCCGAACCGTCGGCGCACCGATCCGTCGGACCCCGACCGGCGGCGAGATCCCTCGGACCCGAACCGGCGCCGCCGTGCGTCAGACATGAATGAGACGGAGGACGACAGCAGCCGTCGACGCACCGATCCCTCGGACCCCAATCGGCGTCGGGACCCCTCAGACCCGAACCGTCGGCGCACCGATCCGTCGGACCCCGACCGCCGGCGAGATCCCTCGGACCCTGACCGTCGTCGCCGTGCCACTGCCGATGAGAGCGAAGCGCGCCGACGCACCGATCCCTCGGACCCCAATCGGCGTCGAGACCCCTCAGACCCGAACCGTCGGCGCACCGATCCGTCGGACCCCGACCGTCGGCGAGATCCCTCGGACCCGAACCGGCGCCGCCGTGCGTCAGACATGAACGAGACGGAGGACGACAGCAGCCGCCGACGCACCGATCCCTCGGACCCCAATCGGCGTCGAGACCCCTCAGACCCGAACCGTCGGCGCACCGATCCGTCGGACCCCGACCGTCGGCGAGATCCCTCGGACCCGAACCGGCGCCGGCGTGCATCAGACATGAACGAGACGGAGGACGACAGCAGCCGCCGACGCACCGATCCCTCGGACCCCAATCGGCGTCGAGACCCCTCAGACCCGAACCGTCGGCGCACCGATCCGTCGGACCCCGACCGCCGGCGAGATCCCTCGGACCCTGACCGGCGCCGCCGAGCCACTGTGGATGAGAGTGAAGCGCGCCGACGCACGGATCCCTCGGATCCCAATCGGCGTCGAGACCCCTCAGACCCGAATCGCCGGCGCACGGATGATTCGGACCCCAACCGGCGTCGGGACCCCGCAGACCCCAACCGACGTCGGGATCCGACAGACCCAAACAGACGCCGCTCGAGTGCTGGAGCAGTGGATCGTGTTTGGCTCTGAGGTCATTGAAATTCTTTGCATCTGGTGTACGTTGGTTCATGTGCTGTTGCATCAAACCGCATTCCCGTGATCGTGACTTGAGGCCAAACTGATCTATGAGCAAGGAGGTCATGCCGTTGTGCGAGCTGAGCTCACGATGCCGGCTTTGCCTGCAAATGTGAACTCTGGAGTCTTTGCAGTCAAGTTCAGGCTAAAACTGTATTGCTCGGTCCTATGTATGTACCAACCATGTACGTAGGTTATATTGTTATGTGACTGTTGTGATTGAGGTGACGTGCATGTCTGAGAGATGGGCCTGAGGTGATGTGGTCTCACAGTCTCGAGAGGGAGACTGGCCACGCACCGTGGTGGTTGCAACGGATGCTCTGCAGGGCTCCACCACGTTGGACGTTCGCTACACATCCCTTTGGAGACCATGCTTCGGAGGTGGTTCGAGCAAAGATGGTGTCACAGGAGCTTACGGAGAGGAGCGGGTGCCTCCAGAACACAGACAGATTTTGTTTCCAACGCGTGCGCCATGCTCAGACCATGTTCTGACCATGCTGACTAGCTGATAGATGTTGCAAGATGTTGTGCTTGGAGGAACTGCCGCTGTCCGCGCACTGCCTTGACACCAACACTCCCCTGGTCGTGAACGAGATTCAGTTGGGAAGGCCTGTGGCGATTCAACACGACTTCCTTTCTCTTGCTGGTTTCTCATTGCAAAGTGCTTCCCGGATGGCCGGGACACCTGAGTACGATATCCGCCGCAACTTCTACAACATGGGAGACTATGCGCATCAGTTCATACTAAACATGTGGGATGCAGATGACGGAACGCCGATGTTTTCCGAAAGCTTCGGGTGGGAGTATGACATCATCCAAAAGACCGTCTTATTCATGTCTGCACCTGGGTTTTGACAGAAGTAAGCAAAGTGCGAGAAAATAGGAGACAACGTTTGCGCAGATGCTTTTATGCAGGCTCCAGTGTGCCCTTGAGGAAGACATCACGAATGTGATGCTGTCATTGCAATCCGAGGTTTGGATGGAAGTCGTTCACGAAATGGAACAAGCAGTTGGGATGTGTGGAGCTGGGCAGGACAAGCAGTCTTTCAGATAGTGAGCTGCTCGAGCAAACTCACTGGAATCTCCGTGACATTGAGGACAGCAGCCGCCGACGCACCGATGCCTCGGACCCCAACCGGCGTCGAGACCCCTCAGACCCGAACCGTCGGCGCACGGATACGTCGGACCCCGACCGGCGGCGAGATCCCTCGGACCCGAACCGGCGCCGTGCCACTGTGGATGGGAGCGAAGCGCGCCGACGCACCGATCCCTCGGACCCCAATCGGCGTCGCGACCCCTCAGACCCGAACCGTCGGCGCACCGATCCGTCGGACCCCGACCGCCGGCGAGATCCCTCGGACCCGAACCGGCGCCGCCGTGCGTCAGACATGAACGAGACGGAGGACGACAGCAGCCGTCGACGCACCGATCCCTCGGACCCCAATCGGCGTCGAGACCCCTCAGACCCGAACCGTCGGCGCACCGATCCGTCGGACCCCGACCGTCGGCGAGATCCCTCGGACCCGAACCGGCGTCGCCGCGCCACTGTGGACGAGAGCGAAGCGCGGCGGCGCACCGATCCTGCAGACCCAAATCGGCGACGAGATCCTGCGGATCCTAATCGTCGGCGCACCGATGCCTGGGACCCTGACCGGCGCCGGGATCCAGCGGATGCTAACAGGCGGCGCTCTTCGACAAACCTCCTGCTTAACGAGGGGACGGCCCAACAAGCTTGGGACAAGGCTGTTGCATTTTATGCAGGCTCAAGATGGGATTCGCGCGCCGACGCTGTTATGCTGGATGCAGAAGCCAACATGTTGTGCTCCTTGTTCGGCACATGTGATGAGGAGGATGAAGGAGTCTCCATGGCCAGCGACAAAATTTTCCGTCACTTCGAATCTGGACAGACCGCTTTGATGCAGGATGAGTGTGGTAACCTCACCACTGATCGGGATCGGATTATCTCCTTAATGTATGTGCCACTGATTCAGAACCTGCTGTATGCTTCATACAAGCTGGCAACGAAGATGAGTAACGAGGAGCCTCTCATTCAGCGCGACCGTGGCCATGGTATCTTTTTTGCCAAAGCCATGCAGCCAAAGCTGGCCAGCTGTGCCCAAGATGTTGTGGACATTGTGGCCCGAAATCTGCTCGTGCCTTTCCTGGCAAGAGAGATGCTGTTGTGGCATGTCTGCCCTCGAGCAACATTGTGTGTTTGCTGTATCGTCGGGTTCTAATGTGTGCAGGTGCCACAGAGCGAGGAGCCTATGCAAGGCGGATATGCAGAGGCACTTTTGGGCACCCTGTGTGATTTCAGAACGGAAGCTGCCCCCAGAACAACAGGTGAAGCTCGCATTGGAGCGAACCTACGACTGCCTGGGCCTGCAGTGTTGGGGCCTTAGCAGTCCCAGCATCTTACTTCGACTTAGGGTAGGTTTCGGCACATCAAGCAACGAGCATCTGTAGTTCGTCGGTTACGAAGTTCACCCCTGCAGTCCCAGCTGTGCGAGGCGAGGACATCGGTGGGATTTTGGAGGATCCTCTGTCCCAAGCCAATGTGAAGTATGCTCCGGGAGCTGAGCCCTGCGGTTTCGCCGTCTTCGATGCCTCAGCACCGGAACCACAAGCTGGTGTCGATGCCGGCGTTGTCGTGGCCGTCGTGCTGAGCGTGCTGGCTTTTGCTGCTGTTGTTGTACTTCTGGCCTGGAGGGTTGCTTATGCCCGGGGGGCCGAACGGGCGCGCTTCATCATGAGGACGCCCTTGGGTGTTGTTTGGTTTGTGGTGAAATCGCGCTTTGTGCGCTGTCCTGCCCTGCAGGACACCTGAAGCCTCACCGTCGTCGACCTCGCCTCCCGGTGGTGAGACGGTCATCGGCAGTGTCATTGGGACCAGAACCGAGGAGGTCCCTGTCCCTGATGACGGAACAACTCTGAAGATCTGAGGACCGCGGTGCGGCAATTTACCCTGTAGCACTGCAAGTAAATGCAGTACATGCGTTGCAAGTGCAGGAGCTGTGCAGAAGTGAGCCACACATGCTTGAGATTTTTCTTTGCATCGAGTTTTCATGAGTTCCACAAACCACTCTTGACCGCTTCATGATGTGCTACAACAGTTCACTGAAAGAAGACCTTAAATCACGAATGACATTGTAGTCTGGCGTATCATCGTGCACAGCGCGAGGCATCATCATGCTACATAGAAGAATGCCTTGGAGCGGAGTTATGACTGCGGAGTCACGTTGTGGGCTCTCGGCTGTCGAAGCCGGCGATTTTGCAAGCGTGCGCCGCCAATGCGTCGCAGCTTGATTTTCGGCGGTGCACTACGCACGCCGATTGGGAGTGGCGTTCTGCGATAGTTGTGGAGGAATGTTTGATGTATATATGTTCTGCAGGATGAGACTTCGGAACCTAGCCCGCTTATGTCCAAAGCCACGGCTTGGCAGTCCGCATGCTTCATGAATTTTAGAGAGTTCCAGCTGACGACTTGTAAAGGCGTGCTGCTTACGGGTACCTAGGTATGACAGTTTTCTGAGCTAGGTCGTAGTTCCAACTTCCAAGATAAGGATCGTTTGTAGAAGTACCTGAAATATGGGAGACAGTGACATGCTACATCATGCTACACAGAGTGCCCGGAAGTAAGCCATGCCCGTTCCAGAGTTGTAAGGGTCTTGTACAGAGTTGTAAGGAGTGTATAGATCCCTGAACATTTTGGTCGTGAGTGCGACCTTTGCCAAAGGAGCGATTCGCCTCCAACCGCGGTCACATGCTGCCGCATACCCTTTCGACTCAGCAGCCAGCAAAATGTGACTGAGAATCGATCATCCCAGCCGCTTCGCGAGTACAGGTTGCAGAGCAGCCACGTCATGCGCGCTTTTCTCCAAGCCCTGATGTAAGTGTGTGCCCTGAGGCGTACAGGTCACATTGCACAACGCGACATGCCACTCCAGCCATCGAAGTGCATGCATACGCAATCGTCACCTTGCATGATAGTGATGGGCATACCTTGGTACGCTGAATGTCGCACAAAAGTGAGCTACGGTGCAGTAACAGGATCCTGGCAGCCACGTGGCCCGTCAGTTGAATTGAGCTGTGTTGGTTCCGTGTCGCCGGCTGGTCGAGCCCAGCGATGCCGGCCGGAGCGGGGAGCTGATGTCGCAAGCAAGACGTGTGATGTTGGCGGACACAACTGCAGCCAACAATTTGCTATGTTGTTGAAAGCACAAGTCCAGGTGTATCTCTGCACGAATTTCTTTCAGCGATTTGAGGAGTTGCGTGATGGATTCGGCAGCAATTAGGCATGAGACTACTTGTAGCGGGGATCGGGGTTGCGGTTGAATCCAATTTCGCATCATCACAAAGCTTCGAACAATCTCGCTCAACTTGGTGGCTCGACCTGCTGCTGACAACTCGAGACCTCTGCCATTCCATGAGCTTCAACAGGTTTGCGGATGTTTTTCAGAAAATCAACGAAGTGCCATGCCGCTTCTGGGAGCCTGAGATAGGCAGCTTCATCCTGGCAGGGAGCATTCCGCAATCTGTTTTGATGGAAGTGTGTGATGTAGTAAAGTTCAGATTCGCGGGCGCGGGTGCATATTCTCAGAAGAATGCTGGCCTAATCGCTCAGAGACATGTCGGGTCATGGTGCTCCGCAAGGCTGGGCTGTTGCACTTCTGCCGTTCATCTTTTGGCAGCAATGTTCTTCATACAGGCTTCCGTCCGTGTGCTCTGGCAGGCGAAAGCTGCGCCAAAACGGCATCCAGGTGCAGGCAAAGCAAGTGCTGTAATTTTGGATTGACCATCATGTTCATAGTTCAACTTGGTCGTGGTCTGCGGCGTACACATCTGATTCGTGAAGTCATGCTTCCAGAGCAAGACGACTCGGTGACGGATAATTTTCCGACAGAGGTTGGTGCGAGCTTGAGCCAGGAGAAGCGAAGCAGGACAGCAACATCTTGTTGCCAAAGCATGCAGCGGCCCCGGGCCGAGGGACACTTGGGCTTCCGCCGCGCTGTTCACCTACTCTGTCTTGGTACTGTATTGAGACCTGCTGAGGAATCTCACACTCTTTCGGCTCCAGCCGTTGTTGTCCCCAGCCCACTCCCCTGTGGAATTACGACAAGATGTCGATGGATGACGCAATGGCGTTGTTTCGCAGATTCGATGTAAATGGCAACGGCACGCTCGGATTCGATGAGCTGCGTGAGCCGCCATGATGCACACAAGAAGCTCTTTTCTTGTTCTGGTTCAGGATTCGTCGTAGTGCAGAGAGATCCCAGTGCTAGCTTGCAAGGTTGTTGCTGATCGTTGGGGTGCCACCTGCCGACATTCCCGGACTTTTTGGCATCATTGACACCAATGCCGATGGTTCCCTATCCTGAAGGGATCAGCAGCACATGTTCATGTATAGAGCATGGGGTGGCTTCCGTGTACATGTTGCAAACGGGGACAAGCCTACCGGCTTTCTGGACTCAAGTCAGGAAATTCCTGTTGAACTCGCGGCGCCTAGACGTGTCACTGCGCCGCAGGCGGATTGGGCAAAGCGAGGTACACTGAATGATGCCGGTATGCCGATAGAATTTCCGTTGTGTGGATACGTTTTCTTAGCAGGAAACCCACAGACATCACAGAAATTGAGCACGAGTCTCTGCCGTCAAAATGTATGGCTAATTCCAAACGCACGCTGTGCTCGATGGAGAGTTGACTTTGTGGGAACCTGTTCGAGACAAAAGCAGTGCTGGTTCTTCTCGGCTTTCGGCTTTGCGTGTTGGATTTCCCACGGTGAGGGCCCAGGGTTAATCGCTGTCGCGGAAGGAGATGAACACGCGTTGTTGGGAGCCATCCGTTAAAGTCGGCGCAGCAATACGTCACTCCTCTGGATGTCGAAGCCTCGACGGATGTATCCATGTCACGAAAGCTCCCCGTGTGGGAGCTTCGTTCAATACCTCACGAAGTGAGCTTGGGGTTATCGGGGGGGGTGCGGGGGGGGGGAGGGGGTGGCTTTTTTTCGTTGTTTTTTCGGCTATCCACCGTCTGGAGCTGGGAAAACCGTCGTTGCCAAGGGGGCCTGTTTTGGGCCACATTTGGGTTTGTTTGGTAAGTGGATTTTGGAGATGTTCGCAGGAGAAGTGGGGCTCCTCTGATGCTGCTGATGCTGGCCTGGGTGTGCTTCCTGATGCTGCTGATGCTCACCGTATCGTGTCATGTGCGGCAAGAACGAAACTACTGATGCTGCTGATGCTGGCCGTATCGTGTCATGTGCGACAGGAACAGAACTACTGGAAGTACTGCGCTGGGCATGCTGCAACATGTTTGTCCGTTTATGGTTAGCCAAGGTGTCTGTCTGTTTGCTTTCTGCATCTTCCGGGCTGAGATCAGACATTTGTAAGTGTCGTTACTTGCCTCGACGGGCCTGGACCCGCCTTTTGTTTTTTTCGGCTCGATTGGCTCCGCAGTTGCTGCCACGAGCTTCGCTAGGGCCTCTCTATTCCTGTAAGCTCCGTGTCGCCGTCCTACCCCTACTAGAGCTTTCGTCCCAGCCCGTGGCTCTCAAGTTTTGTGGCTTGGAGTTTCGGGACTCCGATTCGGGTTTCGGGCTCCAAGATCATGGGTTTTATAAGTCAAGTTCGCAGCATCGGGAGCATATTATGAACACCCGACGTGCTTCAGCGGTATCGTGCCAAGAAGCCTCACCTGGACCTGTCATGTCGCTGTGTGGTGCCCAGAGTGCCGAACATGCAACCTTTCTGGGACACAGCATCGGGCCGTGAAAGGGCGTTATTGAGTGTTGAACGGCGACCGTTTCCAAACTGAAAAGTTCGGCACCATCCCGCACGGAACGCAATCAAGCCGGCGAAGACCCAGCAAGCTGGATGTAATACAGACCCGTAAGCTTGATTTCTTCTGCATGAGCTCCGCCGCTCCGTTCCTTTGGAAGGATACCCGACAAGTGCTGTACAAGAAAAGGGTGGGTGCAACACAAACAGCATGGTGCTTCACATATGATACGGTAGGATTTTGATATATGATGTGATATGACACGAAGCATAGTGCACTGTAGGAAATGTCGACTTCGACGAGTTTGTTCGATGGATGTGGATGCAGCCCGTCGATGCCAAGGTCAGTGCATGTGTTAGACAGCAACATGATTGTGGCCTGCCAGTCATTGACAGCCGGATTGACAGGAGAAGATGGTGGGCAGCACAGCAGTTGCTCGACAGCTCTTGCGGGAAATCGCCGACAGGCTGGATGCCGACCATGTGCCATATGTTGCCTGTCTGCACTTCGAATCATGTCGAACGTTGTCGAAAAAGCATCTCCAAGGCAACCCTGTTTTCACCGGACAAAGAGGGACAAAGAGGGAGTGCACTCTAGACAGCAGAGAGGCCGTTACAGGGCGGAGACATGCCGGAGTCAATGTGCTTGCATGATGAAGCATCATGCTCTTCAAGTTCTTGGCACCAGTCTTTCCCACCACGCTTCCGCTTCCGATAGGGGTCCTGGATGAGCTCAGAGAGGATGTAGACTGTTATGCCCAGCAGGAAGACAAACAGTTATAGTTGGGAGAGCCAGAGCCTTGCAGAGCAACCAACGAAACACAGCAGGACAGGGACAGTGAGAGAGATAGGCAGGCAGGCAGGAGGCGAAGGCTAGGAGGGTCAGGGCCAGTTCCGTTCAGGCGGGCGTGACAGGTGTTGGGCAGTGTGTAGTCGGTGGAACCGAAGCCGCTCTGCGTTGTCTGGTGGCTTTGTGTTGCTTCGGGGAGCCCGCGCTTGTCGTTTCACGCAGGGGGCCGTGGTCGGCAAAGACCCGTGCCGGCGGCCAGACAAGGAACCCATGGCCGTCACCAAGCAAGAGTCTTCCTCCTAGCCTGAGAGAGAAAACGTGCAGGGGAGGGTGGGGAACTGGCCTCGCCTGGCTGTGTGGAAGAAGGAAGCGCGAGTGAGAGAGAGAGGGGCTCCAACAACGTGACCCCCAAGCCCGGCAGAAAGACAGAAGAGGAGCCCCTATGCCTTCTACCCTTGCGAAAGAAAAGAGAGAAAGATGGATCAACGACACCCATCGCAAACTGAGTGTGCTGGAGAACAATGGCCAGGCGGTGGGACGAGGAACACGGTTGGTCAGACTGCTAAGAAGTGCCGCTCCAGAACTTGCGCTGCACACTCCTGCTGGACTCGGACTTCTCGTCCCAGAGCAAACACTAGCCGGCAATGCGCAAAATCATGAAGACCGAGTCTTGAGCGGATACAATATGAGTTGCATGTGAGCTGATGGGGACCATCCCACAATGAAGTTGGACGTCCTTCACAACACACCACCCTACGATTGGTGAGCCCAATCCTAAACCTTCAGTTGAGCCTTGCTTCTTTGGCATTCGCACTTCGAAAGCCGCATGGCGAACCGAAGTGGGAGCCAGGTTAACGCTGCTTTGAGACTGAATGCGGGGGAGAGGCTATAATTAACTATGCTGAGACACTGGAGTTAGTAAGCTGGAGTCGGAGAACGGCTCTCCCACCAGCGGTGTCGCGGGGCGGGGTGGCATGTGCGAATTTTTGCCTCGAACCCGGAGCCTCACTCGAGTTGGAGAGCCGGTAATGGGGTCGGAATGTTGTCATGTAGAGGCGGGCAGTCTTTCGGTGTACCTTTGTCGGGTAAATTTTCAGATTAGCTCCTGATGAGCTACGTGGCTGAATGGGGCCGCGAGCTCAGGCTCAGAGTCAGCAACCCACCACCGGTAGTAGGGGGGTCTGACCCTTAGACTACGAGGCAGTAGAAGTTCGAGTGTTGTGGTCGGGGAGCCGATGACTTAAATCATTTTCGACCAGCTGTGCCACTCTGCACAAAAATTCTCCAGTGCGCGACAACGCGCAGGGGGTCAGCGCACGCGGACCTCCGTGGCTGTGCTGAAGAAGAAAGCGAGGCAGAGAGAGACCGACAGTCGGACAGACACAAGGACGGACGGATGAAGAGAGACACAGCCGGCGTTGCATCACATGCAAGTGCAAGGACACACTTTTCTCGCCTCCTGGATGCATAAGCTTCCTAACTGCGAGGAAGCAGCGAGGTGCAGCAACTTCTTTACACATGATGTTAGCCGGAATAAACAACATCGTCTAACAAGGGGTCGGTACCTGCTACAGGCCCACAGGAAGACTCCTGGCTGCAATTGTGTGCCATCGTTTCGCGAACCGGTGATTTCCAGAGGAATGCAGACGTGTCGCGAGATGGTCTTCTTTCCCGTGTCTCGTCCAGCCATGTGAAGTTGTCAGCAATCTTTTTCCGTTGGAGGGCAGCGAATGGAAAAAACATACAGTCTGCTCATCGCTCAGGTGACGAGCTGTCACGGATTTTGATGGCTTATCTGCCAGATGTTACATCATCAGTGCTGACAGAGGCTTTCAACCTCTGCGATTGGGACAACAGCGGATGGATATTTGCCAGAGCACGATAGCAGCACATTTTGACTTGGCTGCTAGATTTTGCAGCTGCCTAAAGACTGGTCGAGTTGATGTTCCTTGTGAGCTTTGCGTTTGAGACCATCCTGACATGGCGTTTAAGGATTAACGTGCAAGAGTTTGTCGCAGCATTGCGCCGCGAGGCCCCGGCAGTGCCGTAGCCAGCAAATCCAGTTTCATTTTGTCATTTCATGCGCCAGGCAAGCAGTTTGAAGGCCAGCAGAGGGCGAGATGGGTGGACACCTCCGGGACCAGAGTCCAAAGTTCCCGTGGGACCTTAGCCTTGTCAAGTCGTGTGAAAAACACAGCATGTCACGTCTTTTCTTCGCAGTAAGAATATTCGACCAGGAGGGGCGCCCGGCTGCCTAGCAACCAGTTGTTCGTGGAAACCGCCAAGAAAGACCGACATCCAATAAGCGACCACGTGATGTAGAATTTGGCTGCCAGCAACGATTGCAGGTACGTTTTCAGCCTCTCTCCAAGCCCTCTGCAGTCATTGCTTAGCATAGTGCGAAGGAGTGCCCACCTGAAAACACTGTGAAACCTCAATTGGTCTCATTGCATTCCCGGTGGTGAGGTGTTGGATTCCGCCCGCCCGTCCCCCGATTTATCCTGTCCGAACACGTCCCGCTGCCCATACCTTTTGCTTCTGTCATTTTGCACATGACCGGTTCAAGAAGCCACTCTGCGGATTTTTCGGCAATCGGAGTTCTGTGTAAAGGCTGAGGTGCAAGCTCTCCACATTGGGAGAGGACGATAACGGACGATGCTTAAACCGATCATTCAAGGCTCGGACTGCAAACCTTCAGCCATGCATCGATTTTACGAGGCACTTTAAGGAGCACAAAAGGGAACCTTCGACCCCTGCAGAGGTGGACCGGGTCCTTGCGACCCAGCTATGTCAAAGTGTTTGGGATGTCTCGGTCTGCGCACGTCCCGACACTGGATTTCGACATCGCCATGTTCGCCCCTTTCCTTTTCCATCTCCCGAATTGCATGATAGTGCATGCCTGCAACTTGCCCAGACCTCGGATTCGTTTGGACAGTAGAAGCTGTGTAGTGGCAATGCATGTTGATTCATGATGTGTTCCGGTTGCTCCAGGTTCGTGTCATGAGTTGCTGCATCTTCATGTTTGCAAAATCCGAACCTACAGAGGTGTGCACTTTATTTTGCTGCGCAGGAGTGCCGTCCAAATGCCGAATGGCCATGAACCACGTCGTCTTGTTTGCTACACCTGTCGTGTCGTGCTTTCGTGGTTTGGCGGGCCAGGTCGAGCACCCAACTGCAGGAATGCACATTCAAAGATCTCAGTCAATCAGCTTAAAGAGTCTTCTGCCGAAACGGAAGACCGGGGAGCTGCCCAGAGGAAGGACAGACGGTTATCTGACGATTGTGTTGAGAGCTTCTATTACCTGTTCACCTAATCGAAGCCAAAGTGCCCCATGGTTGAGTCGTGGCTGTATGACCTCTGCTCCACAGCAAAGTCCAAACAAGTGCAGGTGGCTGCTCATGCGGTCACCCCAGCCCCTTTACTACCTTGTTCAACTCAAGCATGTGCATGCTCGGGTTGACTGGGGCAGCTGCCGCTGTTGTCAATTGGCATTGGCCCTTCGTCGTCCCATTCCTTTCACCGACCATGGTGCTACCATGCAATCCAAATCGTCAGTCTTTGTCAAACCGCGAAGGCTGCTGTGCCATCCACGGTGGATGTCGAAGTGTCAATACCGCCTGGCTGGCGGTATGGGATGCAGTTACCGGCAACCAGCTTGCACATGCACAGGTAAACATGCTTCAATGCTATGTGTATCGAGCTATGCGTTTCTGTGTGGCTGGTCAACGTGCAGACGGACCAAGGTGACATACGATGGTCACATGTACTATGTGGATGCAGCATGACTGGCATTATGTAATTTGTGTTCGACTTGTGTGGATGCCCACAGGCATTGATATTCTGCACATGCTGTCTGCGAGGTGCCTGCAGGTTGTACAGTTGGCAGCGCATTCACCACTACTTTGCAGCGAGCTGCGTGAATAGCTGTAGTCGCATGACTGGTAAGTCTGCCTTCGGTCAAGCCGTGCGGCAGCTGCTGTTCAAAGCTCTGGCAAAATATCGTCGTTTCGGCTTGGAGGACGGCGTGCGCGTTCGCATGTGGCATTCTCGTGTGATGGAGGTTTATCAAGGCAAGAGTGAATGTTTTCGGTTTTGCGGTCGTCGGATTCACTTGGCTCCATCGGCGAATCGCGTTTTGAAGCCACCTAAACTGTTGAAGACTGCCCGATTGGTGAGTCGCCATCCGCTTTGAATGGCGTTTGTTGTATTGCTACGTCCCGCAAACGGCCTCAGCTCTACCCACCACGCAAAGCGGACATGTGGGTGGCGAGCCAAAGTAGCGGAGGACGTAATCGAAAAAGGGCTCGGTTCCGCAGCAGTTCTGCATTGCAGGAGATCTGCTGCCTTTCTGGCACTGGCGTCATCAAGCCTTTTAAGACGGAGTTGAACTGTCAATGCTGCGTGCAGGTCCGGCAGATCAGCGACTTGACCGACTTGGATGAGCCTGAGGTCGCGCTGGGGACTTGCAAGGTTATCGTTTACGTTCTCGACGTTCGTATGCAGTCCAACTATCAACCCACGCCGAGCGAATCTGGAACGTTTATCCTTTTTACATGCAGGTGCTGCCGCGTAGCACCGTGTATGATTAAGTTCAGGTAGGTCGTGATAGCGCCGCCAACGCGCGGAGCTAGAGCTTAGTGGCGTCAATCATGCAATGCGTGGCTAAGGGTAGGGTGCCTGAGTCACAATCGTTTCGCGTGCTCTCGTCGACCATGTGATCAAGTGCAGTGCTGTGCGCTTTGAGTTCTGCTTTAGACAGACTTGGATGCACGGGCTGTTGTGCGATCTGTTTTGCTGCGCCCCGGCGCGGTCTGTCGCTGCCTTCACGGAATAGTATTTGTTTGGTTCGGGCATTTCTTTCAATGCTGGTGTGAAAGGCTTCGTATGTTCCGCTTCAGCTGTCGTAATCGGTGTCTTCGCCAGTAGTGAGCCGTAAGGCTCCTCCGATTATATGCATCGTTGATCTGCGTGCATCCCGTAAACACGTTGTAACTGGAATTCCACAGCCCGAGTTCTGAATCCCGGAAACCAATGCCTACGGCGCATATGGCGACAAGGCACCATAAGATTTTAAACGATCTTGCTCTCCCATGCCCATCTCCAGAGACCGGCCAGGAGACTTCGAGTTCTCAGCCCAACGTCCAGCAGGAGAAGGAGGTGAACCCCGGTCCCGTGGCGAGCTGAGTGAGGTGTGCAGAGCATTTGCAGCATTTGCTGTTTGGCATAAAGATGGCCCGATCCTTTTAGCACTCTGAATCTAAGACAAGGCAAATCCTGTTTTTCCACGATTGTGATTGGAAATGGGGCGTGCAACAAGTCAAACGCGACTGGGATGTCCTTCTGTGATCTGTTTGATAGGTTTAGATTTTGTGCTACCATTTTATCCTCTTATTCGCAGATTCCAGTATACAGATCTGAAATCCAAAAATTTGCAGCCCCCCCGAAGTGCTTTAAAGCACACGGAATATACATGGGGAATACTGGAAGACAATGAAAAGTTAATTGAAGTTAGTTGTGAAACCACGGAACACGACTGCATGTAATGATCTGCCTGTTTCTCTTCGTTTACCCTGAGACTTGCGGTTTGTTGAGTTGTATACCACGCACTTCGAATTTCTTCTGGTCACATCCTTGGGTTTCTGATTTTGTCTTGGTGTTGTTCCCATACTGCTTTCATAGAGTTTACGCACGATGGGGCACCGCTGAGGCCGCCGGGGCCGCTGTTGCCACGGGCCCTGAAGGCCCTGAAGCCCGAGCTTGGGCTTCAAGCGGCGCGGGCGCCGTTCGCTGTCAGGGACCGACGTGCCCCAGAGGGAAATGTATCGTTACGATGCGCCGGAGCAAGACACGGCAGAAGCTGACCTCTTCAGAACGGGTTCATCTACGACATTTTGCGACCACTGGTTGCCTGGGCCTAGCCCGCCTTCACAATACGGCCAACGCATGCAAATCACCTCCACTTGTCATCCTCGCGGGGAGCAGTTCTGCCTTGGCCGTCAGAGATTCGGATGCGAGGAGGGGCAGGGCAGAAGCTTCAAAACCAGAGACCTAGTGTGTGCTGGAGGTAGATCACTCTTGGCTGTTTTCTAGCAGAACTGACCTAAATGCACTGTGGATACATGCTTTTTCTTAAACTCGGTGCCGCACCTGGGTCCTGTGTCTGTGGGTGCGCTCCTCTTGCAGACGTTGCTGTAATATGGATTTCGGCTTGCTTCTCTGTGAACTACCAACATGCGAGGGTTGTCCAGCCAGACATTTTGCAAGTTCGGACTTGGCTAAAGCGTCCAGGGCGGCTATTGCACAAGACCTCGCAACAAGACCAACCACACAGACAACCAGCTGTTGCTATGGCCCTGCTTAAGGGCAAGATCTGGTACAACGAAGCTTTCTCCGTTTCTTCGCATGTCGGTGCGCTTTCCAGTCGCTGTGAAGTCTTCACTCCTGTCCCATCAGCAGGTACTCCCAGGCTCTTACGTCGCCGTCGCTACAAGTGGTAGATGGGAGGCCGTCGCATCCGTTGCAACTCACTGAGGCGATTTTGGGCTTTGCTAATGTAGGTGGTCTCGGCACGCAGAGAAGTGAGTCAGTCGTCTTACAGTCTTTGTGTCATCAGCAGCTTGTGCTGTCGCCTCTTTCCTGGAATTGGCTCAAAGACCTTGCCTTGGCTGATGGCTTCGTGATCCTCCTGTCGCGCTGCAAGCGCGCAGCGTGTGCGAACCCTGGTTCTCCATGTCCTAAGGCTGCAGACCGAACTCTCAGTGGTCTGTCTGAGGCATCCAAGACGTTGAACACACTTCTATGCAGGCAGGGGCATGGCCAAGATGGGTTTCGATCTTGGTTGCTTAGTCGTCAGGCAACAAATCGACGCTGCTGGCCGACTTGATGGCATTGATGGTGTGGTGGCTGCCCCTTGGCTGAGCAGGTTCCCCCGAACGACGACCAGTCTTGGACCTGCTCCGATACTGCGACACTGCCCTGCTAGCTGTCACGGCTCCAGGTTGCTGCTCTTCCCCGTCCCCACGCTGCAGAAGGCATCCGGGTTCTAGCTTACTTAGTCTTACTTGTGATTCAGCGCAGGGAGAGGATTCCGTGCCTGCGAGCCCTTTAGGTGTGGTATCCATCAGTGGATGATCAGATCGAAGGTTGCTATACAGCCACACGGCGGTTTTCAATGAAGTTCAGGCTGAACGTGGAGTACGGCCTGCGTCACGTGCGCGCACGTGGGTTCAGTGTCCTCTGCAATGCCAGCCAAGGGGATGTTTTATCTCAGGTTTCTGCCGATCTTGCTGATGATCACAGTGCTGCTAGCTGCGGTGGGAAGCTGCCTGCTCAGCGGCGTTGATTGATGCCACAGTGAACAGCTCCCTGCTCGGAACTGGTTTTGCAAGTCTCTCAGGCAATGTCCAAATTGCTACCAGCTCGACACATCCTCCAACGCAGCCCAAGCATGTTTCTTTTTTGATTTGTGATCGTGTCCTGGAAAGAGTCCTCTGTGCAGGCAGTCACCTTAACCATCACCAACTGCCACTTCGTGAATGGTGTGGCTCTGACCGGCCAGGCAAGCTTCGGTTGCTAGTGGCGCAGCGTCATCGCTGTATCGTGCGAGGCTGTTTTCATGTACACCTTCTACAACACAGGTGCTGTTCGGGGTGGGGTCTCACCTGGACCGCCTGTTCACAGTACCTGAAGGTACTCGCTCGGCCTTTGTCAAAGATGGCAGTGGTGCTGGCGCACGGGAGTATTTCATCAGGCACTCCTTTGTCTCAAACTGTGCTACAGATGCCACGTTGTTGTGCGCTTCTGCGCATTGGGTCCCGTTTCTTCAAGTCTTGTTGAGTATCCAATTTGCCGTCGGTCTGCTACGTCTTCCAGGCCCATGGGCCAGGGCGATGCGGGTACAACTTGCATGTGCAAGGCACGGCACGGCGAAAAGCAGCGACAGGCGACAAGCAACGGTTTCTTTACTAAGCGGCCTTGCGAGGATGGCGAGTTGGCCTGCAGCGCCGACACTCCCGAAGTGCTGAAGGTGACTGCCAGTGGCGGTTCACCCGGTAACCTTCGAGAGTGTGTGGACCCTTCCTACTCAAGAGTTGCAAGGCTCAACAGAGCCCAGCACGGAGTGCACAACTTTGTCGGGCACGCCGCTGACGACCTCATCTCAGAATCTTCAGCAGGGTCGCTCTGTATATGAGTAGTTGGTGAGCGAGCTCTCTGAGGCTGGACCTAAGCACAACCGCCTGCAACTCACGGTACTGTCCCACATGCTCCACGGCCATGTTAAGAACCTAGCATGGTTGTTCGCTGAGCTTGGCAGATTCAAACGCCCCTGCTTCATTGACAGGCTTTACCATGGACACGACTGCAACCGGTTCCGACATGACGCTCACACTTTCGTGCAATCCCCGGATCGATAGGTTCAGATGCCGCTCGAGAGAGCGTCATCGTAACACAGTACACCATAGTACACCGAGGAACTGCGACTACTACATGGGCCACCATCTATCCTCAAACTACGTCATCAAGTGAGCCGTTCTCGCATTGAGCGGTTTGATAAGGAGATGCATTTTTTTCTGGAGAGATTACTTCTGACGAGGTACGACTTCTACAACTTCGGCACTCATTCAGCCACACCAGCTTGTGACTGCAAATTCTATAGCTGTTGTGTTGCAGCTCGAGCCAGGTCACCCTGGGTGACGGGTCGGTGGACTATCAAATGTCGCGTGGGCCTTGGGAGGAAAAGTTTGCAGCGTCACCGCCGGACAGCTACAGCTGCAATTTCTGCCCAATCGAGGTTTGGCAGTTTCGGCGCATCCGCAACCCACTGCGCCTGCCTTGCTGGAACGCTTTGGCCTCAGCAGCTGCTGTCAGCTGCTTCTGCACTCGCCGACTCTCTCCTGTGATCCAAGGCTGAGATGCGATGCAGGTGGATCATCTGGAAGCATTCTGGGAAACCTCGAAGTTTCCGGCCGCCGCCTCAAACTTCGAACAGGCCGAGTTAGTCCAGTCTCGGTCTTTTCTATTGCCCCGCTTAGGCTATGTGTCCGTCTTGAGCCTGCTGCTCAGAGCCAGGATGCATGAGCCCAGCTGTTTGCATTGGTCGACATGCTGCCCAGGCTATTCGAGGGTCGGCAAATCTCCACCCGTCTCAGACTTCTCTGCGCTCGGTGCATCTCTCTTTGTGCAAAGCTTTGCAAGGCAAGCCCATCACTGTTGGACTGCTTGAAAGGGCTCTGCCGCCAATCCTTGAGCCTTTGCCTCTCTTTGAGGTCGGAAACTTCCCCTCCTGCCTCCAGTGCTGCCAATGCCCAAGACTAGAAGCCTGGGGTGTCTGAGAATCGCTTCGGCCGCCTCGAGACCCAAGGCCACTTCGGAGCCTTCCTCGCCGGTGCACAGCCGAAACCTGAGTGGCTCAGGCACTCCTACCACTGACACAGCTGAGAGCACGTCGAGCTCAGGTTTAAGCAAATTTGCACCCTCGCCTTCGGCGCGGTCTCTTGCACGCCTTGACCCTGCTGCTTCGCTCCTGGGGATCGTGCAGCTGGATCCCTCGCTGCTAGCTTAGACCAGAGCCTGAATTGTGGGCAGCTTGAGCCTGGTAGTCTGTCGGCTAGCAGTGGCTAGTGTCGTTACCAGGTTGCCAGCTCCTAACCCTGTGGATGCCGGGTCGACTTCATCCCTGCGAAGTTTTTCCTGCACAGGCCTAAGGGGAAAGCCCCGCCGTGATGCTTTTTGGGGCCGTGATGCATTCAGTTGAGCTGTGTCTGGTTCCTCTGTGACGCACGTATCCCCAAGGAATAGGAACGTTCGTGGAGCGGCGTCTTGTAGAGAGAACCTAGGCCTTGGACTTTCAGCCTCGGTGCCTTCTGGCGCATCTGCGGAATCCTCGCTGATGCTGCAAAGTGCTGCCCGTGCTGCCCCGAGCTTGCGCGACACCGGTCCAGCGACCCCGTGAAGTCCCTCTAAGGTGCTGGGTCAGCTTTGGCGACGTTCGGCTCCATGGGATTAGGCTGGCTGACACTGCTTGCAAGAAGTAGCATGGCGATGACTTGAATACGTGGTTGTTAAATGCCGGAGCATATGCAGGCTTTTTGCCTCTGGTGGCGGATTTTGTCCAGCGTGGCCCTCAGATCTTGAGTGCGATGCAGTTTATAATCAGGTGTATGAGCAGCTCATGCCCTTCAGACTTCCATTCAAGCTTCTGGAATTTCTTGGTCTAATTCTGCAAGTGCAGGGGCACACCAATATGTACCATGTGAAGGCCAAACGTTTTGAATCCCGGTGACACCCGACTAAACTGTTTCGCCAAGTCGTCTGTCTCGCATCGTAGAACCTGCTGCAATATCCGACATAGGCTGTAAGTCCAGTCAGAGTCAGGGAGGATGTACAGTAACTGGATGCTGATCCAAGGTAGGTCCATGATCGTGGTTGACATAGTGAACTCTGAATGACTAGCAGAATTCCTCCCGACGGCTTGGCCTTGCCGGTTGGTGGGAAGGTCCACGCTGGTGTGGGCCTTCGAGATGCAAAAGGTGGCATGAGTGAAACGAATACCTCAAGAAGGTTACATGAGCAAAGGATCTTACGTTGGGGGCTTTGGGAGCCTCCTGCCTGTGTTCCGGAAGAGCTTTCTTGTGAGATCCTTGCACTTGCTCTGGCCTTGTGGGCATTAGAAACGTGAGAACCCTCCGAAAGCGAAAGGAGGCCGGCTCTTATCTTCAATCCTTAAGCAGGAAGACACCAAAAGGGTTCCTGAAAATGTGTTGCACTGCTGTCTCCCGTGTCTCGTGCACTAGTCTGGTCGTGCTCACGTAGGCGAACCCAAGCAGAGCACGAGAAGCAAGCTGGTATACGGCAGAGTCAAGGAGGCTTTGAAGTGGCGTGGAGGCACAAGGTTTCGATGCTGGAGCTTGAAGAAAATCGACAGGTTCCGGAGTGAGGTCAAAGAGTGCTCCTCTTGGTGGCGGATTCGGCTTATGTTTTCGTTTTGGGTTCCAATGCTGACCAGGATGTTTGCATTGTGTTTTTTTTGAGTTTCCTGTTTCCAATCTGCGAGGGCCGAGCAAGCAGGCAAGCAAACAAGCAACTAACGCCGAAATCTGAAACCCTATGCGGACCAAGCCTCAAACCCTCCGTTCGGGCTAGCAGCCCGGAGCGATCCAGAGTGAGACTTTTGATTTTTAGACCTAGCTTGGGCTGGTAGAGTAGCAGCATTTCGCACTAAATCAATACATTCCCGGAACCCACACCAAAACGTTGCAGCCTAAAACCCCGTGATGCCAGCGTACATCCCCAACAGTGATAGAGCACCATGTCGACAACGACGCCCACAACGACCAAAACGACTACAAAGACCATAGCGACCACAACCGAAACGCCCAAAACGACCTCAACAACCACGACCACGCCACAAAGTTTTGCCGCTTTGTCTGCAGAGATTTCAGTGTTTACAGGGGATCATTCTGCACCGGTTCCCCTCATGTACTGGCGGCATTGAACGTTGCACA